GTACATGAAAATAAAATTAAATCTAGAGAACTTCCATCTTTAATGGTGTTTATCGTGTTGCTGATTAGTTCATTTGCGAGAACTTGTTTTCTTTTTGCCGAGGTGTAAGCCACACTGAAGGCTACAGTCTTTGGTCTTCAGTAAGCTCTTCAATCCAGCTTTGCTTTCTGCAAGCAAGGCTTTCTCTTATTTGCATATCATAAATTGTTAATAAGCCCGCCTCTGATCCATTTGTCAAAAATCTTCAAATAGCCAGGTTCTTCTAGTACATGCTCAGCATATAGATTGAGTAAGGATGGCGAATGGATACACAACCTAGATACACACCTCTCCAGATTTTTAACCACTCAATATCCCTTTGTTCTGTTTAAGCAACTGCCTCTTGGTCTTTATATGAGTTCTGCATGAGCACAAATAAGTGTTCTAGAATTGCCATTCTTCAAAACGTTTTGAAATGTTTATTATGATTGACATAGTTGACTGGCTTTAGATAGCAAGAGCAAGATTCAGAGTCCCCTGTGCCATCCATTTTGCGTTCTTCATGTAGGATGTTCTTGATGCGATCGCACAGCTCTTCTGGTCTCTGGTTATTAGTGCTCAGTGCAGCAAATCTGAATGTGAGCTGGTCTCTAAACAGGGCGGGGGGCGGGTGGTGGTGGTGGATATACTCAAGGTCATAGGGGGGAATATACTCAAGGTTATATTTTGGATTAGATTTGTTTTAATTTCCTTTAGCATTAAGTTGAGCTTGCACAAAATCAATTGATGATCTGTTCCCCAGATAGCCTCTACCCTTATTCTGTTGATGATATTGCACTCCTCCATCATCTCTTTACACACACACCTGTACACCTTCACTCACTGCCTGCCATTGAGTAGATGCTGCCTCATAGCAATCCTATAGGACAGAGTGGAACTTCCTCAAGTGAGTTTCCAAGATTGTAACTCCTGATGGGAGTGGAAAGCCCCATCTTTCTCCTGTGAAGTGGCTGGTAGTTTCAAAGTGCCAACCTTGCGGTTAGCATAACCACTACTTCACCAGGGCTCCTTCCACAGGTACAGCCCACTGGTTTCTGGGTGTTCTAGCTGGTGAGGTTCACATGCCTATACCCACTGTTGATGTTGCTCAGAACTGGTATTTCCAACGAGTAACTCAATGGTTTTGCAAAATTCTTTCATGGATCTTCAGCATTGTTTCTGACACCAAGACCATATTTTCCAACAAAACCAATCCTTCCTTTTTGGTTCCAACTTTTGTATTCTAGTCACCAGTAATTATCCATGCACCGTGATTGCGGATTTGATTAATTACAGATAGAAGGATTTAGCAGAATTCTTTGATTTTTTTCTTCTTTGACTTTAGTAGTTGACCTAAATTTGAATCATAGTCTTATTTGCTGGAATTCATTGTAGGCATATAGAAAGTATCCTATCACAGACAACACTGTGTATCACGATAGAGCCTGGGATGTCACTTGTACTAATGCATGTGATACCATTCCTCTTCCATTTGCTAGTCTTGGCATCATAAACCATTTGGTTATCTCATTCAAACTGTCCAATGCCAATCCATTTCAGCTCACTAATGCCTATGATGTCACTGTTCGTGCCCCATGTCATTTTTGATGACTTTCTATTTCCCTATACTTAGACTTTATACATGGCCTGTTCTGAGTACTAGTGGATGTTTCCACCTGTTTCTTTTCATTGTGTGTCATGCCATCTCAGCAAATGAAGGTCCTGAAAGCTTTGTTTCCTCAAAGCCATGAAACTTGAGTGTACTTTGAGGGGGCTGTCTTCCCCAGTCAGACATATTCTCCGTGCCTTCCCATCGGAGGAGCTGCCACTGTATCAGGCTTGGCTCCACGCTCTGCCACTTCATCAGATCAAGCTCCACTACGAGCAGCGAGGCCCGTGGTGCTGTTGGGCATGCATTGAACGGCTAACAGCAGGTTTGGCCGTTCAAACCCACCAGCTGCTTCGAGCGAGGAAGATCAAGCTGTCAACCCCCTAGGGTCCCTGTGCGTAGGAATGGCCTTGATGGCAGTGAGTAAAGCCCTCAGAAGTGGCATGCCTTTTCCTTCTTCCTCGTCTCTTTTTGTCTGGAAGCTCTACCGAAATCTGCCCATTATGGATGACCTGCAGGTATTTAAATTACTAACGGCATAGCTTCCAGCATGGCTTGCATGTTGCTATGATTCAGGAAGCGATGTCGCTGGTATTTCAAATGATAATGCAACTACCAGCAGGGTCACCCATGGTGGACAGGATTCAGGAGAGCTTACAGGTGAAACAGAGTAGGAATACGGAAGAGATGATCTGGTTCACTTCTGATGGATTAACTCACTGCCATCCAGTCAATTCTGACTCCTGCAGTGGTGGTGGTGGTGGTGGTGATGCTTGTTAAGTGCTGTTGAGTCTGCGCTGACTCATAGAAACCCTATGCACAACAAAACGAAATGCTGCCCAGAGCCCCGGTGGTGCAGTGGTTATGTATTGGGCTACCAACCATGAGGTCAGCAGTTAGAAACCGTCAGCCACCCCTAGGGGAGAAAGATGAGGCTGTCTACTCCCATAAAGAGATAACATCGGAAACCCACATGAGCTGGCATCCGCTCAATGATGGTGAGTTTTGTTTATTTTATTTGTTTATTGTTGCTAGGTGCTGAGTCTATCCTGACTCACAACAACCCTGTGCACAACAGAAGGAAATACTGCCTGGTCCTGTGCCATCCTCACAAGTTGACTCATAGCAACCTATCCAAGGTTTCCGAGGCTGCAGCTCCACAGGAACAGTTAGCCTCATCCTTCTCTCATGGAGTCGCTGGTGAGTTTGAACCAGCATCTTTTTGATTAGCAGCCCACAGTGCCACCAGGAAGGGCTCTTTAGATAAGGTGAGATCTCACAAGTTTTCTGACTTTGATGGGGTGCAGTCTGCCCACTTTTCTCTCTCTCCTGTGAGTCTTCCATCTCAGACAGACTTTCTCTGAGAGGTTGACACAGGATCTGGCTGCCGTAGGGTTTATTGACATGTCTCAAGACGGGAGTGAAGTAGAAGTCTTTCTCTAACTTGGTTGTGAAGGCCTCTTCTTCCCCTTTCA